CAATCTGCTCGGGTTTGCTCTGGGGAGCTTTTGTTCCCTGCAAGCTGTCCCTACAGCTTTGGACGACGAGATAAAAATGGTGGCCTCCCAATCTCCACCCCAGAGGAGCCGAGAATTCAGGGCCCTGCTCCTCAGTGAGCCCCCAGAGAAAAGCAGTCAGTCACTCCCATCTCCCCGGTCTCTGGCCGCACTCTGTGCTCACCCAGCCTGTGACTGAGCGTTTCTATCTCTGGCACCTGACCCCGTGTGGAGTCTCCAAACCCAGCAGATCCCTGCAGTGTGCTCCCATGCCGCTCCTCCGGGGGGGGAAGGGGAGTCTCCCCAGATCTGCCAATTGTTGGGTCCCTGCTAGAAGAGCAGTGGCCCGACTATGCCGCGCATCAGTTTATGGCAACCCCAAGCTGAGAGCCTGCTCCTCGGCTCTGTCTCTGCAGCCGGCTTCGCTGCTCTGACACCTGGGAGCTCTGTTGCACTCAGGCACCCCAGGTCTTTCTGTGATCCCCAGGGTCCTGAGACCACACTGTCCCCGTGAGGGTTCTACCCCCTGCTTAGCCACTGGAGTGACATCTCTCATTGGAGCAGACTTTTTTTTTTTTTAAAGATTTTTATTTATTTATTTGTCAGAGAGAGAGAGAGAGCACAAGCAGGGGGAGCAGCAGAGGGAGAGGGAGAAGCAGGCTCCTCACTGAACAAGGAGCCCGATGCGGGACTCGATCCCAGGACCCTGGGATCATGACCTGAGCCGAAGGCAGACGCTTAATGACTGAGCCACCCAGGCGTCCCTGGAGCAGACTTCCAAAAGTTCCGATTTTGTGCACCACTGCTCTGTCACTTGCTGGTAGCGGCTGACGGAGGCCCCCTCCTCCGCCGTCTGTCCTCCTGAGTATCGCCTTGGCTTCACTTCTCTGCACGTCCTACCTTCCAGAAAATGGTTGCTTTTCTGTTCAGAGAATTGCTGCTATTCTTTTCTTTGATCTCCTGTTGAGTTCGTAGGTGTTCAGAATGGTTTGATCCCTCTCTAGCTGAATTCCTGGGACCAGATGAAATTTAGGTCTCCTACTCCTCCGCCATCTTGCTCCTCCCTCTCATTGTTACTTTTTTAAAGTATCTTACTTTCCTAGAACTTTATCTTTGGGTCCCAAATCATAACTCATTACTGGTCCAAAATGGAAATAATTTTTGGACTTTTAACAAATACATAAATTTGTTTTTTAAGAGTATTAACATACACTACAACAGGCACATTTCATTTTGGATTCACTAGCATTAGTTAGTGTAATTGTTTTAAAATGCTTGAAAAGGTTTTGTCCTTATCTCATTAGCCCATATCCTTTAGACTTTCAGTTTTTAAAACTGTTTCTTATCTGTGACACTAGAATCTCTTGGGGAACTTAAAAAAAAAATCTAACCCCCAAACCAGTTAAATCAAAATCTCTTAGGTTGGGCTTATCTGTGAACTCTCTTTAAACAGACAAACAAACTTTCTAAGTAATTCTAATGTTCAATCAGAATTGAGAACCACCAGTTTATAGGATTCATTTTCTTACTTGAAATGTGTGTTAAATGACCTTTTCTCATTTGTTTATGAGGGTATGTATTACTATTTTTAAAATATGTGTGAGCGCTTTCTAAAATAAAGATATTAGTCTTATGTCATATTTGCAATAAAAGTATTATCTTGTTGATTTTCATGTTCCATTTATTTTATCTTTAACATATAACCATTTAAAATATTTGTTTAGCCCTACATGACTATGTTTTTTCGTGTTTTTTTTTTTTTTTTCCCAGCCTACTTGGGCTCTGAAAAGTCCTTATTTTCCACAGAGATGATGAATATTCAGTTCTATTTAGTTCTGGTTTTTCCCTATGGTTTGATAAAAACAAAACTTAGGAACTTCTTATAATGTGTTCATATAAAATTAACTTTTTAATCTATTTATCTGGAATTTAGTTGTGTATGACGTGAGCAACATCATGTAACACTGTCGAATGTTAGCATTAGCTTGCAGTAAATTTACATTTCTGTGTCCTAGCGGAATTCTTTAAAAATAAAATTATCCAGAAGTAAAGTCTGGGTCAGATCTTGAGGACTTTTTTTTTTTCCTTCTCCTAGGACATTTTGATTGATCACTCTCTTGGGATAAAATCTATTTTTGGAATACAGAAAGCACATGTTTAAATTTTGAACTGCCTTGCTGCTTTTGCAAGAGTATGAAGGCTCAGGAAATCCTAGGTTATCTTTATAGTCTGAACAGAAAACGGTAGTCTTTAATGAATGTGATTTTTTTTTTCACTTGGAACTTCCTATTTACAATACCTACAGACTTTCCTATTCTTTTATATTTGCTTAAAAATATAATTTGCCTTCTTGGACATATGGGTAAATATCTAGAAATGCTTTCTGACTAAAATTTGAATGCATGGCATCAGGATAATAAAATTAATATTGGTATCAAGTATAAATAATCCTGTGGATAAAATCAGGAAATCTGGCTTGCTTCTATCCTGCTATCCAGGACTGTCCAGCAATTGGTGAACGCATTTTATCACATTCTAAGAGGCAAATAAATGCAAACCTCTAGATTCAACACTATGTTGTTGACTCACTGGTTTTAGTCTTGATTCTTGGTTTCATTTAGGAATTGTAACCATAACCACTTTCAGGACAGTACCGTATTTATGATCATTTTCACTGCCATCTTTGAATTTGCAAAGGAATATACTTTTTTCGAAGTTTAATAGAGAAAAATAGTGAAAGCATCAGGGAAGCTACTTTAATTCATCAGAAGATGCACTTTGCTGTTTGCAAGTTGTAGATGGCGCTTAATAAACTGTAGACATTTGGAGTCAAGGACGTGAACATGAACTGCAAGGCTGGTAGCTAATCCTAGAGAACACTTTTTGGTTGAGAAAGCTCTGATTAGAGAATATATTGATAACTAGTCCACCTGGCTTAGTATCTGTCTGAATTGATTGTCTTATATAGGAGTCATGTTCTGTAATATTGTCCGCAAAGGTGAAGATTATATACAGCACGACCTGGATATTATTTTAATCAAAACCACTGTTGCATTTCTTAGGTTACGAATACTTGTTTCACTTATTTATGTTCTCAACAGTGAGGTCCAGAAGTGTTTAATCTAATTGTGATTACAAAATGGGTAAAATGATAATGGTATTAAAACGTTTTATTTCATATGGAACTTTATGATTTGTGGCATATTCTCATTTCCCCAACAGCTCAGGGAAGGAGTTGTTACATTTTCTTGTTTGCTAAATGAGTTTAGGTGGCACATGCTGTAAAGAAAAACCTGTCAAGCTGTCACTTACTTATACTGTTTAACCACAGGCTACAGAAGAAAATCAGTATAGAAATTGTGAAGGGTTTCTTCAGCAATACAGGGCAAAAATATAAAAACAACAACAACAAACACAACTCAGTTTTTTTATTTGGATTCATGGTATTGAATTGCTCCACAAAATACTATTGTGTTTTTTTTCTATTTGCTTCTATTCATTGTGGGGATATTTTAAGAGATGTGTCTTATTATTATTTTTACAGGCAGTCCCTAATCAGCAGAGAACAGGTCAGCTTGCTCCTGGAACTCGATCACCACCTCTCCCCACAGATTATCTAGTTGAGATTAACAAAGTTTTACTTGCCATGGATGATGCTGAATTATCACTTAATGCTCCTGAGCTAAGCACTGTTGTCTATGAAGACTTCTCTTTTCAGGAAGACTCTCTGAAGGTAGATCTCCAGGCATGATTCAAAGCCACAGTTAATGCAGAAATAAAGCAAGGAATCTGTCCTTGTGCCTTTGTAGATGGTCTATAATTTTTAAAATTTGTGCCAAGGAATTAATAATGCGTACGAATAATAAACTTTCCCCATTTCATCAAGGAAATAGTATCAAATTTTTAATTTTTTAAGAGTAGGCATGGATTTTTAAATATGCACAGTTATTAATTCTTGGCAACATCAAAATCTTCTTTAATCAAACACAGGCACGATCCATATTCCTTTCTTAAAAACTTGATTGTCAGTGTGATGTAAAATATTAGCATTTATGTTGTCATCTATAACGAGTTAAGATGGTCAGTGTTTGGGGTATGGAATAGCATGTTGCTTAAACATTAATAGAGATCTGGAAGTTTTTAGTTATTCACAAGACTATTAAATACCATCAAGGCTTTTTCATATAATTTGATTGCACTTAAGTATAAAATTTCAATAAACTTGCTATAGATTTTATATGTTTGCTAGCTCATTTCTGTCATTTAAATTAGCATTATTACATATTTGAAAATATAAATCATTCCAGCTTCAAACACTTCATTACCTTTACAGAATACTAGTGAGGCTTTTTGTATGTTCTGTACAAATACTGCTTTGAACAACTGTGAGGATTTTCTTTTCTGCCGTTAGGACGTTAGGTAGCATTTCTCACACTTTGGCCAATACACGATATTATTTTTTTTTAAGTTTTCAGTTTTGAGGAGCAACAATTATTATGTCTCATTATATTTAAGATAAATGTTATGCAAGATAAAATTTTGGTCTTCTGTGATTTCATTCTTCTTATCTCTTTGCTGGATTGTGTTAATGTGTGACAATACATTTGTAGAATATCAAAGATCAACTGGACAAACTCGGGGAGCAGATTGCAGTCATTCATGAAAAACAACCAGATGTTATCCTTGAAGCTTCTGGACCTGAAGCCATTCAAATCCGGGATACACTAACTCAGTTGAATGCAAAATGGGACAGAATTAATAGAATGTACAATGATCGTAAAGGGTATGTGTAAATTAAATTAATACTTTTCTTAAAAAGGCCTATAAGTTCATGGGCCACAACAAAGGTCATACGTACACTAAGATTAATGAGAATAAATTTCACATCCTTGTCCTAGGCCTTGTTTAATAAATTGTGATGAGTGTGGTTCCTTCAAGAAAGAGGAATTGCATCACATATGGATGATATTTTGCAACATAATATCCTCAAGTGAGGAACAGGGATAGCTACAGATAATTTGAATCCCTGTATAATCCCAACCCCCCCCTTTTTTTTTTTTATAATTTTCTGTTTAATGTTTTTGAGCCTTCTTTCTCGATTTTGACCAGACATATTAATAAGTAGAAATAAAAACTGATAAGATTTTTGCCAGTAGCTGTGTATGTGGTAGAAAGGCAAGTAAGGTGTGAAATAGCCCAATATAAAGTACTGTGTAAGAGGAAAGTTACCAGAAAAATGTATTGGAAACATTAATGGACATACACACAAAAACTAAGCATCATTTTCTTTATCTTTGTTTGTTTTAGCTGACATTTCAAGTGAGTATACAGTCCTTGAACAGATCACTTTTAGTGGCCTTCGGGTGTATTCCTTTGTATGGATTTTTAAAATCATCTCTGTACATTTAGAGAATATTTTTTACATACATCTTTATGCATAGTTATGCCTAGTTAGACTTGATTATTAGATGATGACTAATTTGTTAAAACATATTAATTTTTTTAAATGATTTTATTTATTTATTTGAGAGAGTGAGCGAGAGAGAGAGTATGAGCAGGGGGAGGGATAGAGAGAGAGGAAGAAACAGACTTCCCAGCTGAGCAGGGAGCCAACATGGAACTGGATCCCAGGACCCTGGGATCATGACCTGAGCCAAGGGCAGACGCCTAACCGACTGAGCCACCCAGGCTCCCCTGCGTTGTTTTTTAGATTCTACATATAAGTGAAATCATATAGTGTTTGTCTTTTCTTGCCTTATTTCACTTAACATAATACCCTCTAGGTGCATCTATGTTGTTGCAAATGGCAAGATCTCATTCTTTTTTGTGGCTGAGTAATACTCTATTGTGTATATATACTACATCTTCTTTATTCATCTATTGATGGTCATATAGGTTGTTTCCATATCTTGGCTATTATAAATCATGCTGCAACAAAACATAGGGGTACATATATCTTTTTAAATTAGTGTTTTCATTTCATTTGGGTAAATATCCAGTAGTATTTCTGGATCATATAGTATTTCTGTCTTTAAGTTTTGTGGAACCTCCATACTGTTTTCCATAGTAACTGCCCCAATTTACATACCCACCAACAATGCATGAGGGTTCACTTCTCTCCACATTCTTTCCAACGCTTGTTATTTCTTGTCTTTTTGATACTAGACATTCTGACTGGTATGAGATGATATTTCATGTGGTTTTGGTTTGCATTTCCCTGATGATTAGTGATGTTGAACAACTTTTCATGTGTCTGTTGGCCATCTGGATGTCTTCTTTGCAAGAATGTCTATTCAGGTCCTCTCCATTTTAATGGGATTATTTGTTGTTTTGGATTGTGTTGTATAAGTTCTTTATATATTTTGGGTAACAACCCCTTATTGGATAAATCATTTGCAGATATTTTCTCCCATTCAGTAGTTTGCTTTTTTGTTTAGCTGATCGTTTTCTTCACTGTGCAAAAGCTTTTTATTTTGGTGTGGTTCCAGTAGTCTATTTTAGGTTTTTTTTTTGCCTTGCCTGAGGAGACATATTCATAAAAATGAATATTTATAGATACTTTGGCCTTTGTCCGAGAAATTACTGCCTGTGTTACTTTTGGGTAGTTTTAAGGTTTCAGGTCTCACATTTAAGTCTTGATTATATATTTGCTTTTACCAGGGAAAAAAAATTTTTTTTCATTATTTTCTTACTTTTCTAGTTGTGGTCTTTTCTTTCCACTTGAAGAATGGTGATGAACTCCTTTAACTTTTGTTTGTCTGGGAAACTCTGTCTCTCCTTCAATTCTGAATGACCTTGCCAGGTAGTGTATTGATTGTAGGTTTCTTCCTTTCAGCACTTAGAATATATCATGCCACTCTCTTCTCATTTGCAGAGTTTCTGTGGAAAAATCAGCTGATATCCTTGTGGGATTTCCCTTTTATGTAACGGTTTGTTTTTTCTTGCTGCTTTTAAGATTCCCCCTTTATCTTTAGTTTTTCCCATTTTAATTATGGTGTGTCTTGGTGTGGACTTCCTTGGGTTCATCTTGTTTGGCATTCTTTGTGCTTCCCGGACCTGGATGTCTGTTTCCTTCCCAATATTAGGGATGTTTTCAGCTATTATTTCTTCAAATAATTTTCTGCCTCCTTCTCTTTATCTTCTCTTTTTGGGATCCCTATAATGTGAATGTTATTACACTTGATGATGTTTTAAAGTCCTCCTAATCTATTCTCATTTTTATTATTATTTTCTTTTTGCTGTTTAGTTTGGTTGCTTTCCATTACCCTGGCTTCCAGATTGCTGATCCATTCTTCTGCATCCTCTAATTTGTTGATTCCTTCCAGTACATTTTTCATTTCAGTTATTGTATTCATTAACTCTGACTGGTTATTTTTTATATTTTCTGTCTCTTTGTTGAAGTTCTTACTGAGTTCAAATATTCTTCTCTCAAGTCTGGTGAGTATATTTATGACCATTTGCTCTCTTTAGCAGGTCTGTTGCTTATCTCAGTTTTGTTTAGCCTTCCCCCCCCGCCCCCCTATGATTTTTGTCTTGTTCTTTCATTTGGGACATATTCCTGTTTCCTTATTTTGTCTGACTCTCTGTGTTTGGTTCTGTGTGTTAGGTAGGTCAGTTATACTTCTTGGTCTCAAAAGTAGTGGATATGTGATGTCCTGTAATGCAATCCTACACTACTGCATGTGCCCTCCTGTTGTGGCTGAGCCATGATTACTATGGCACGCTGGTGGCTCAGGCTGGCCCTTAGCTCAGCTGGCTACGGTGACCTGCTTTGCCTGCTGTGGGCACACTGGGAAGGGTTTGCTCCCCTGGCTGTTGAAAGATCTGGCTGCAGCCACCTTGGGCTCATTGTTGGATGGGGCCAGCAGTTAGTTTGGCTATTTGCAGTTAGCTGCTGCAACAGCTGCAGTACAGGGAAGGGCAGGGCTTGCTCTCTGCACAGCCAGCTGAGAGGCCCAGCTGCAGGAAGTGTGGGCACTTTGATCTGTGGGGTTGTCTCCTCTACTCTCCAGGTCAGGAGTCACTTTGGAGCGATGCCTACCCAGGTGAGTTGGTTGGGTGGGGAGAGTCTGCAGGGGAATGCCAGGATGCGGCATGTGGTGCTAGCAAGGTGGATAGATGGAGAGTGTCAGAATTGGCTCCCAGAAGCATCAGGCTGTGTGTGCTGGGCAAGGCCAAGAAAAATGGCATCTGCCAGCACTTTTACCCTGGGGGAATTTCTTGCAGATCCCTGCCCCTCTGGTAGTTTTGTGCTTTTCTTGTTTGTTACTGTAGAGTTGGTGTGTGGTAGCTTTCTTCTGCACTCTGTGTGATGTCTGTGTGTGGTACAGAATTGATTTTTTTGACCTTTGTAGTATATCAACACATCAATTGTATATAATGATAACTTTTTCTTCTTTTTAAAAATCTTCCTATTTGTATATATTCACTTGGCTAATGTGGTAGAACTTAAAGAACGTTGATTAGTCATGCTGATGGCAGAAGTTCTGCCATTTTCTTGATTATAAAAATGTTATCTTTTAAAAAGGTAACATGGGAATTTTCAAAAATTTAAGCACCAACTATATTTAACTATATGTTCTTATTTTAGAAAAGTCTCATCTGTCATAACTTTCATTATTTTGTTTCCTTTGTTAACTTGATTACATTTGCTAGAGGGTTGTCTCTTTTATTTTATCCCAGCACTTGGATGCATTATGTTCTTATTCTTAATTTTTGTTTTTCTTTCCCAACTTTGGTAACCTATCCTAAATCTTTATTTTTTTTCCATCCATGTTTATCCACCTTTCACAAGTAGTAAGTGAGAACTTTTTTGTATTCTCTTTTTTCATAAAACATCAAGGCAGTGGCAAATGTTCTGCACTTTCATGGTTTCAGTTATCAGTTATAATCACATGAGGGTGAACACCAATCCATTTGTCTATACCAGGTCCCTGTGCCAATTGGCCTATAAAACTTGTCAAACTTTTTCAGGAGTAGAATTTAGTGATTCTTCACTTACATACAACATCCAGTGCTCATCACACCAGGTGTCCTCCTTAATGCCCATCACCCATTTAGACTATCCCCACACCTCCCTTCCAGCAACCCTCTGTTCTCTAAAGTTACGAGTCTGTTTTATGGTTTGCCTCTCTTTTTTTTTTTCCTTTCCCTTATGTTCATCTCTTTTGTTTCTCAAATTCCACATATAAGTGAAATCGTATGGTATTTGTCTTTCTCTCAATGACTTATTACACTATATGATGACTAACTGTAATTTAAATAAAAACTTGAAACAAACAAAAAAAGAGATAAAACTAATCTATGGGGAAAAACTTTGTTGGCCTATAGTAAAAGTAAGATAAATGCCATGAAAATATAACAGATCGGCTTTCTTTGAGAACTCCCTTATGCCTACTTTACACTGGTGCATGGTGTTAGTTTTCATATTTTTTCAAATAAGTAATTTTACAACCATCTTAGATAAATAATGGAGCCCTCTTTTCCTGGACAAATTTCTTCCCTTTCTTTGAGCCAGTTATTTCTTCCTTCTCATCTTGGATCCTTGGATCCTTATGTATCTTTTCTCCTAAGAATGCCTTTTCAGGTATTCATCCTCTGTATTTCCATTGGTGGCTTTACTGCTACGTGGACAAAGTTCAGACCTCTCATCTTGAATTTGGAAGCTTTTTAACAGTGTTCTCCAGATGGCCTAATTTCTTATACCTTGTACGTATCGCTCAAAAAAAGTTACTTTCATTCATTTCACACAATCTTGATTAAAATTTTCTTTGTTTTCTTTACCTTCCCAGTTTCTGATTCTTACTCAGAATTCCATCTTCTACAAGGAATAGTTTTCCTTCTTAATTTCATCAGTCATTCTTTTTCTATTATTTAAAAAGTTTTCAAAATTCAGTTTTAAGACTTCACCATCCACCTATCTCTGTATACTTGTCTATCCATCTGTCCATGCACCATCTATTTGACCAATATTTATTGAGTGCTGACTAATTCAAGGTACGTGCAGCTACGTGTAAGTTATAAAGGATTATAAGGCAGGGGTACTGAGTAGATATAGTCTCTGTCTCAGGGTCCAAATGTATATAGTAGAAAAGTATAGACGGGGACTTATTACATAGTGCATAGTGCTGTGATGGGAGCAATACAGGAGACCATGCTAGACACCTTGAAGGATTTGGGAAGTCTTCTTGGAGGTTACCCAGGTGAAGGAATAGAGGGAATACAACATTGCATAAAGTCATAGATAAGAGAGAGGGAGTGCAGGGCAGTTGAGGAAATAGAAATAGTCCAGCAGAGTTAGAACTCATAGCAGAGAGATGAAACCAGAAAGATCTGAAGGGACTATATCAGAAGGACCTTGTTTATCAAGTTAAGTACTGTTGATACAGAGGCAATCTTCATTACCTTTCATGAAACTATGCATGGGGATAGGAGCACCGACCCTCTCCCCTGCAATGTAGTTGAAAATTTGTGTATAACACTTGGCTCTCCCAAAACTTAACTACTAATGCTTACTACTGACTAGAGCCTAACTGATAACACAGCTTATTAACACGTATTTTGTATGTTATATATATGATATACTGTATTCATACAAGAAAATAAGCTAGAGAAAAGAAAATGTTATTAAGAAAGTCATAAGGAAAAAAAAAGTCATAGGGAAGAGGAAATGTATTTGCAGTATTTATCAGAAAAATCCATGCATAAATATAGGGAGACTTTAAAGTATTTTAACAAAGGAATGACAGTTTGTTGATTGTAGGATACGTTGGTAGAGCACAAGACTAAGAGCAAGGACGACCCATCTATGCTGGTTGCATAACGATAACTTGATTAGGATAGTGGCTATGGAAGTGGAGACTAAGGGAAAATTTGAGAATTAAATAGTTGAGTCGGTAAAATGTGGTGATTCATGGGATGTTGGAGTAAGGAAGAGGGAAGAGTAAAAACTGAGCCCTAAGTCTTTGGCTTGAGGACCTAGGTAGGTGGTGGTACCATTGCCAGAGACAGGTACTTGGATGGTGAGATGAGTTTGTGTGGAAGATGGCAAGGCCAGTTGAAATATTAGAGATAGCAAACTCATATGTTTATAGTAGGCTGGGACTTTGAGTCTGATTCTCTGGAAATCCACAGCCCTGTGCTATACTGTGCTGCCTCCCATACGAGCTAGCAGGGTTAGAGAGGAGGTGATGGCTTTGTGAGTCCTACCTGAACATGCATCTGCCCCCCCTTTTTTTACTCTTTCCTGTTTAATCCATAGCTATGCTGCTTAGATTTATTTGAAATTTATGTTCTGTTACAATGATACTGATCTTTACTAAATGTAATGTTCATATTCTCAAGGTCTTCAGATCTTTTAGGCAGCCTTTTTAGCAACATTTTCTATTGCAACATCGGGAGAGTTAGAATTTATGTTTCTTATTTAGTTATTGCATAGTTTCATGAAAGGTAATGAAGATTGCCTCTGTATCTTCTCTTAGTATTTTGTTTGAAGTGCTTTTACTTTTGTCATGCCCAGTAGAATGTTATTGTCATGTTGGGGGACTGGGGCTTCAACATAGGAATTTTGGGGGGCACAATGCAGTCCATAACACAGAGATAATGGAGTGCAAGGAAATTTTGAAGTATTTTGGCCTTTGGGTTTTGTTCTAGCTGGGAATGAAGTGTTCTGGAAGTAAAACACCCCTTTTTCCCCCCCTAAGAAAATAGGGTAATTAATCATATTTTACTTATTTACTGTGTTAAGTGTTTAAAGTTGGGTAGGTTAACGTGGCTGCAGCTAATCAATCTTGATTTTCCAAGCTGGAGCAGGCTGTCTTTTCAGGTAAAAAGCTGCCTAGTGTGTTGCACGCCATGTTAAGATAGAGAGGGGCAGGATTGCCCTTGGTATGATGCCTGTTTCTCTAAGAGGAATCATGAACTGTAATCTATGAAAACTGGTCTTACAGAGCAGTGAGCTGTGAATTCACTTGTTTCGGGGCTTTCAGTTTAAATGAGGTTTGAATTTCCTTTTTAGAAAAATTGCTTCTAGATGGTCCTGGATATTTTGGAAACCTATTTTGTTTCTTGTCCTCTAGTCATTTTGATAGGGCTATGGAAGAATGGAGACAGTTCCATTGTGACCTTAATGACCTCACACAGTGGATAACAGAGGCTGAAGAGTTACTGGCTGAAACCTTGGCTCCTGATGGTGGCCTGGACTTGGAGAAAGCCGGGATGCACCAGCAGGTGAGTGCTTTCTGTCAGAGGATAGGGCGCCGCTCAAAGGGTGGCATATTTCTTTAGTATGTGGCATTGAAGACTGATTTTGAAAGTAAGGGCTAAATATGTTAACTTTTCAGGAGTACGTGGATAACCTGTAATTTTTGTTCCACTTCTGCTTTCCAAGTTCAGAAGTTTAAGAAACACTGGTATTTACAGTTTTTAACCAGGACTTTAGAAATTTACATTAAAAATGCTCTTTAGTGGTTAATGTAGAAAAAAAAATTTATTTTTAAGATTTTATGTTCAGAATAACATTTGTTAAATTTTGTGTGCAAGACTTTATTAAGGACAGAAAGATATTTGTATACCTCACCTGTTTTCTGTACTTAAACACTAGGCATCTTATTTTTCTTTGTATAATTGATAATTCTCATATAAGTAAATTATTCTTGAGCTGTGTCAGGGCCACTGCTCATGTGAGTCTAATATAGTCTTGGGGAAATACAACACAATAGCTAAATCAGTTCTGTTGATATTGGGTCATTAAAAATAATGGTCAAAAAGCAAGCAAAATTTCAATTTACCACTGTTAAAAGTATTTTTTATTATATCTTTAAAATATACTTTATGTAGAAAGCTGATGAGTTAGAAAATGCTTATATTTTTTTATGAACATGTTAATTTTCATGAATTTTATTTTTATTTTTATTT